CTCTACCCAGGGGGACAGCTTGAGGCTCTGTCTCAATTAAAAAAAAAAAAAAAAAAAAGAAGTAAAGGTTCTTTTCCCTTCACTCCTGGCAACAGAATCAAAATTGTAGGGTGTGGAGCCTAGGAATTTGCATTTTTTCAGTATCCCAGATGATTAAAAGTATACATTGAAATTTGATACTTAATGTGACTCACTTAAGAAAGGAAAGGACGATGATTTTTCCCACCCCCCACCCAAGTCAAGCTATAATATTAATGTTCTTAAGAAGGAAGTAGTGCTTATTATCTTAAGTAACATAAATTGATTTAGTAACAAGTTCATCCTATTAAGAACCTTTCTTCCGGCTTGGCATGGTGGCTCAGGCCTGTAATCCCAGCACTTCGGGAGGCCCTGGCGGGAGGAGTTTGAGACCAGTCTGGGCAGCTTAGCAAGACCCCCCCTCCCATCTCTACAAAAAAAATTTTTAAAAGAACGTTCCCTTCTAAATGAAAATATTGTTGGATTTGGATGCAAATTTCTTTGGGCTGAAAAAGTATATTCATGGTCTTTTATCAAGGAAAATTAGGTAAAGAGGGGTAAATATCATTACCATTAATATTCATGTGGTTCCTTTTGGTCTAGCCAGAGCAAGTGATTGTACATCTAGCAAAGAGGACTAGACCAATAGACAGGCTGCTGGTGGCTTGTCTGAGTGTGATCTGTTGCCATGGAATTGTTTTAGCTGTGACTCAGATAGCAGATTAAAACACTTGAGTCTAGCCCCAGCATTCTTTCTTAGAATTATATTTGTGTCCCCAGAGCCTTCATGACTTAGTGTATCACCTCTGAGAGAAAACCATTTTCTTATTCATATCCTGCCATTCTGCTATTTCTCATGACAATTGTTTTTGCTTCTACCGCCATAATTCTGTCTTTCAAATTTAGTATTTCACTTTTTAGAGTATGTTCTGAATGTTGTTTTCCTTTTTCTTCCACCCCTTGTCCTTCGTCCCAAACACTATCTCCTAGCTTTTTTTGTCTCACCTTTTTATTATAAAAAATGTCAAATGTGCAGGAAAATTGAAAAAACAGTACAACGAGCTGCCACATGCCTTATATACATATAAACACACAGTTTTTTTGCTGTCCCATTTGAAATTAGGTAGTAATATCATGTCACTTTACCATGAGATGCTTTAGCCTTTTCTTAAGAAAAAGGACAAACTTCTATGTAAGCACAATACCATTATTATGCCCAAGGAAGCTAACAGTAATACATAGTATCATTTAACATCTAGTCCATATTCGGATTTCTCCAATTATTTCAAGAATTTGTTTCATGGCTTTTTTAAAACCAAAATCTAATCTGGGTTCACTTAGTATATTTGATGAGGTCTCTGTAGTCTCTCTTCGTGTAATGCAGTTCCCTACTTTTTTTCTTTAATGATACTGACCTTTTTTGGAGACAGGGTCTTGTTCTAACTCTTGGGTTAAAGTGTAGTGTTATCATCATAGCTTACTGTACCCTGCAATTCCTGAGCTCAAGCAATCCTCTTGTCTCATCTTCCCAAAGTGCTAGGATTATAGGTGTGAGCCATGGCCAGCCACATTGACTGTTTAAGGGTCCAGTACAATTGTCCAGTTAAGGTTCCACCATTTCTTAAATCAAGCTAATTTTTTCTTCTTGGTATTTTTTTAGCTTATTCCTTTTATACTCTTTCCTTCGCCCTCATTTCCTGTAAACTGGAACCTAGCTTATTTTTGGTCAAGAGTTGGTGGATGCATTATAATATATTCTTGCCATAATTTTCCCATATTCTGAGATTGACCAGAAGGAGGCTCAACCAGCATAAAAATATTATATTTTATGTGAAATATATTATGAGGTAATTCCACCATATTTGTCCATGAATAGAAAGTAGCCAAAATCATTAGAGGAATTAATGGCTCTGTAGGTAGCCCTTTTCCTTCTTTTTTGTACATAAGTAATTCAAGGTTAAAAAGATGGAACCCTGATCATTTTTAATTTCAGAATTGTTGAGTTCATATTAAATCATATGTATTTGATCATCCTTTATTCTAGGAGTGTCCAACCTTTTTTTTCCTCTGCTGCACGTTGGAAGCATAAGTGTTATCTTAGGCCATGTAATAAATATACAAACACTAACAAAAACTGATCAGCAAAGAAAAAAAAAAGTCCATTTTACTTTTCAAGATGTCCAACACCATACATAAACAAAATAAGTTCTCACAAAATCAGCACGGGGCCCCCTGGCTGCATGTTGGGCACAACTGGTTTATTCTTTTAAAGGTTTTATTTTGTAAGATTTAGAGTTCTGATTCTTTTCACAGTCTGTTGAATTTCAGTGTTATTAAATTCCTTTATCTCACTGGTGAGGAAATTATCTATACAGGTTGAATATCCCTTTTTAAAAATGCTTGGGACCAAAAGCATTTCAGATTTGGGAATATTTTCATTTATACTATGTATACTTACCAGTTCAGCGTCTATAATCTAGAAATCTAAAATCCTACAATGAGCATTTCCTTTGACCATCATGTGGATGTGCAAAAACTTTCAGATTTTGGAGGATTTCGATTTTGGATTTTTGGATTAGAGATACTAACCCTGTATTAGTGTGGGATAATAAACAAGAAATCTAAAGTAATTGGTATCCCATCTTTAATACCTTTCCACTCTGTTTTGACTTGATCTTTACCTTTAAAAATGATTTATAAGTCTGATACTTGTTCATATTTTTCCCAAGGTCCAAGGTGATATCTCAAATCTCATGAGATGAATGCTATTAATAATAGTACCTATCCTACATTGTGTTATTTACTCTTAAAATGTTGTTGAAGCCAGAAATGAGTTCAGTGTATGTGTGGTCTCTCCACTTACTGTTTCAGAAAGATTCTTGTACCACTACCTCTTCCCACCAAATGAATAATGAAATAACTCAATAATAGTGACTTTGCCCCTCCTAGAATATGTAGTAGTTGATATTGGCACAAGTGGGAAACAGATAAGAATATACTGTTTATAATCATCTTTTTTCTTTTACAGAATTAAGAAAGATTTTTCTGTTGTATTAACTAGCATATTAAGTAGCAAATAATCATCAATATTGATTCATTACCCACTGGATATAAAGTATTATAGAGTTTATGTGAGTTCTTCTTAATTTAGTAATGATGAAGGTATACTTGCATATATAATATGGCTAAATCTTAAATCATGGTTAACAAGGAGTTTGGTTTAGAGATGATTTGAACATTAACTACCTTTACTGGCTAATGTCCAGTGTATTTGGTACATGAGTATTTTGGAAAGTCATTTAAAATGAATGTTATGGAGGTTTTAATTTATATTAATAATAGATTCCTTTCCTGTACTGTTGACTCAGGCCCTTATATTCTATAAAAGCTTATTGATTGATTGACCAGCTAATCCCTATAAAAATCAATCTCAGAATCAGCCTATTTTAGTTTTAATAAATATTTGATGCATGTAACATTAATATGACTTAGAAATAAGTCCAGCAATAAGAATAAAGTAAACTGGGAAAGTGATTTGAGGTTAGTCACAGAAGTATTTTTAGTCAAGTCCAAGTATTTTTTTTTTTTTTTTTTTTGAGACAGCCTCAAGCTGTCCCCCTGGGTAGAGTGCCGTGGCATTACAGCTCACGGCAACCTCCAACTCCTGGGCTCAAGCGAGTCTCCTGCCTCTGCCTCCCAAGTGGCTGGGACCACAGGCGCCCCCCACAACGCCTGGCCATTTTTTGGTTGCAGCCATCATTGTTGTTTGGCGGGCCGGGCTGGGGATTCGAACCCGCCACCTTAGGTGTACGTGGCTGGCGCCTTAGCCGGTTGAGCTATAGGCGCCGAGCCGTCAAGTCCAAGTATTAAGAGACATATATTAGTACATTGGGTGAGCAGGTTCTTTCAGGCATAAGGAACATCTTGAATAAAGGGTAGAAGGTGAAAGCAAAAAGACAATGTGTAAAAAAAATTAAGATTCCTGGAGAAAGTGATGATTAAGGATAAGAATGTATGAAGCTTGGGTGGTACCTGTGGCTCAGTGAGTAGGGCGCCAACCCCATATACTGAAGGTGGCAGGTTCAAACCCAGGCCCAGCCAAACTTCAACAAAAAATAGCCAGGCATTGTGGTGGGGTGCCTGTAGTCCCAGCTACTCGGGAGGCTGAGGCAAGCCCAAGAGCT